TGATTAGAGGCTGGTCTTTTCAAAACAGCTTAAGAGTGTTAATACTCAACTGCCATCAGGTTTTAGTAGGATTCAGTTGTCTAACTCTGGATTTCTGCAAATATCAGTGTAGAAAGCAAAAGAGGGCACCCAGGTACTGATCTTGTGCACTCTTTTACTGGAGTAATTACACTAACGTCAAAACTGTGGCTCGCAGGAGTAAGCGTGGTTTGCATGAGGAGTCAGCTCTGCAAGTCCTGCTCAAATGGTTGCTCACTCAAATGGAACTTTTTTCTTCATTTGCCTCCTTTGTTCAACTTTTTTTGCTTGTCATTTTTGTGCCTAGATTATTTTCTCTGTGGGAACAGATTAAAACTGTTTGATCTTCCAACTTCACAAGGTCTGGGGAGGGACAACAGTACAGGGCAGAGGGAGGGAGGAGGAAGGAAGGAAGGAAGGAAGGGTTGTGTTGTTATGATAGAACTGGATAGTAGGAAAGATCAAGTATTTTGTCTAGTTTCCCTGGGAAACAAGTCTTATCTGCATCTTGGTTGCTCTGTATGAAGTTACTACTAATGCTGATAAGTTTCACCATGGAACAAAAATGATGAAATGCTCTTTTGTGCTTCTATATGCTTTCGATAAAGCATGAAAAAACTATTTGTGCCTGGCATAATTACTCCAATTATCCCACATACTGGTGAGTCTATGATTAGAAGCACATGTATCTTAAATCCTGCTTATTGGATTGCGAATACTAGAGAGATATGGAGTTTACTGTGATCTTGTTCATGCAGAGAACTTTGAATTAAAAATGTAAATGCATAGTTGTCTAACAACTTCACAGCCTGTGTCAGCATTCATCTTGTGCTGTAAGGATGGGAGAAGTTACTCCACTATTAAAATTCAGATACTTACAGAGATTCAGGGAGTTCTGTTTAGAATTTGGCATCTTTTTATCTGGAACTTGCCAGAAGCTCTTTTTTTAAGGCAACCCTGGTGCTTGAAGGCTGGGCAGCAAATGTTGTGAAATGGCCCTTTCTAACAGTTTTTCAGAACTTTCTTCTACTTTTGGGCATTGCCTAGAAGCAGACTTGAAAGAAACATACTCAAGTTTACATAGCAGTTCAGAAGGGTTGAGTTTGGGCCTGATTTAAGTAAGGATTCGATCTGTTTCTCCACCAGGCCTGCCTAATCTTCCCATTCCAGCTGCAAGAGCTTACATGTCAAGTTAAGGAGAGGAAAAACCTAGAAGGTCAGAGAGGGAGAACCTAGCATTTACAGAAGTATGTCAGTAGATTGTCCAGTAGCTTCTGCACAAAGAGGGCATGAGGTGGGACAGGAGTGGGCTTAGGACAGAGCGTGACACTGCCACTGGGATAAAACACTACTAGACCTTGCAGAGACCTCTCAGTGCTCAGTTAAAGCCAGCATGAGCAGATGCACTGCCCTCGGGCCACAGCAATCCTCCTGTCGCACCTATCTGCAGCAATGACATCCACTCAATTCAACCTTGAAACCAGCTACAGAAGCTTTGATCCAATACAGCATTTAAGTATACACTTAATAATATCCACATGAACTCAGGGCTCTTCACACTCCTGCAACGGAGGGTGTATTTCTGACCTTTGCAGGACATCGTGCAGGACCATGAGGGAGAAAAGGGATGAAGGGCAGTAATAGGATGAGTTACCCAGCAGAAAACTGTCCCAAGAAGGCTTAGTTAGCTCCGAACTCCTTATAAACTTTCGTCCTTGCTGCTGGACGTCTTTTTACTGGAAACTTAATTTTCCATGTAAAAGTTATGAATCGGAAGTGTATTTTTTCGTTAAGACATCAGGTTGTACTGCATGGCTCGGGAAGCTGGTCAGCTCACTCAGACCATGCTGCGCTGCATTACGGGCTTGTGGCTTACAGATGCAATAGCAAACCCCATCAAGACCATTCAGAATAATGAGGATTTGACAGGTTGCCTGTGTGAACATTTGTTGGTTATTAAATATAAGCAATAGGGGCATTGCCACCATGACAAATGTTTGGCAAAAATGCTAAATCTGTCAGAGGTCTGGGCTGGCATCTACAATGAGTTGCGCTGATTTTAAAGACACCCTGAAGAATTCACTGTCACTGCATTACATGCGTTCAACACACAAGTTTGTGTTTAGCATTCCCTTTAAAAACTCTTGTTTAGGAAACAAGATTAGGTCTTTTAAAGACCCTGAGAGAGAAGGTCTTAGCCTTAGAGAGCCCAAAGGAGAACAAAAGGCTCTTTAGAGAAAAAAAAAAAATCCAGGAGCATCTTAGCTCCAATTTGTCTTCACCAAGCCCAGGCCTTCAAGTGCCTGTTTCACTTCTGAAAGGGAGATTTAGCAGTTTGTGTCATTTAGAGCCAAGGCATTTAGGCTTGAATGCATGAGTGTACCTGGGAGGGTTTTCAGAGACATCTGTGTAACTCACCAGAGCTGAACATTCTTCCACATCTGTAGCAGCTGAAATAGTTTTAAAATTCCACCCTTCCTAGGTTTGATAAGGCCTGAGACCCAGGTTTTATGGCTAGGTTCAAGTATGGCAGGTTTTCCTGGAGCTTTGTGCAGTTTGGAAAGACTCTGCTTTGAATTGCTGTGTTGACATAAGCATGCTCTTGATTAGTGGATCATCTATGTTTATCTTAATGCATACTTTCTTTTAATAATTACCTTGTCCTTAGCAGCAACTGGCGACTTTAATAGTCATTGTCTTGAGTAATAAGTATGGAAATGTGCTCATATTTTGCTGAATCAAGACTTGTACCAGGCAAGGCCACACATTAAAGAAGTGGTTCCCTGTGAATTTACATTTTGCTAACTGGAGGCACCGGTATGACAAATAGAGCAGTAAACCCAGGGCGTTTTTCCTAGTCCATCACACTGGCCTGTTGTGGGAAGACGTAATCCGTGTCACTGCAAGGCTTTGTTTGGTTTAGATTATAACATGGCACAAGTCTGGTTTGCTGGCGAGGCAACATCTGTCCATGAGGGAGGCAGCAGGACTGAGCCCAAAGGAGGAGATGGTGAATCAGTGACCCCCGGGTTTGTTAGCGGTTGGGCAATCACAGGCACTGGCTTTGATGCTGAAGCAGCAGACACATTCCTCCTACGTTCAAAGCACAGTGTTGCCTTTTTAGTATCAAACCACTTCAGTGCCAGTTTGCAAACCCCTGGCTTGGGTTTGCCCATGGTCAGTGCCCAGGGTCTCAGATGTCGTGGCTGCTCCCTGGGAAGGCTCCATGTGCTGGCTGCGAGCAGCAGCCTAACTTCGAATTTGCAGCTCTGCAGAGGGAGAAGCTCCCGTCCCCACGTGAACTCCCTGAACTCATCACAGAGCAGCTTCTTTTGTTGGTTTTTTTCATGCCTATCACTAAACATGCCCCAGCAGCTCCCTGGAAGTGCCATGTACCTATAAATGCACATTGTGGTGCTCCCAGGCACATGGGAAGTGGCCGGTGCTGGTTTCCAGCAGGCATTTAGAGCACCTGAGGGCTCCCGTGCCAAGGTCCGTCTCCTGCGAGACCTCCTGTTTCAGGAGCACAGCCCTATTGCCATGGGGAGCTTGAATTTCTGGCTGCCTGAAGGAGAGGTTTGTTTTTCAAAACTCTGTTAAAGGAGCTATTATTCAAAATCCACTTTTACGTTGGAAGGGAATTGCTTTCCATCTCTCCTTTTATCTCCAAACAAGTCAAGTCAGCAAAAGCACAAAGTGAAAAACATGCATCCAAGAAGTTATATTTAGAAACTGGTTAGTCCGTATTTAACATTCCTGTCAGTGCTTACACTGTTTTGCATGTCTGGACTGGTGTTTAAATTAAATACATGCAAGCATGACATTTATTATTCTAGAGCTCAGCACATGAATAACAAAACTGCCTATCTAATTTCACTGCCACAAATTCTGGAGAAGTGGCTTGAAATAGGATGTTCTTATGATTATCTGAACTTCTTCCTGCATTTCAGTAAATCAAGGAAAGGTCAGCTCCAGGGGAAACTGAAAAACAACAGCTTAAAAACAGTTTTATAATGAGAGGCTTGTGCTCCTTAACAGACTCTCCCAAGGGTCCAGCCCAGAGTACCCTCATGTGGAGGACACTCACTGCAGCGGCTTTTTTAATGTATGTGAACAAGGGAAGCAAAGCTGCTTTTTGGATGGGCTGGGCCTGGTTTTGGCCACATACCTGATGAGGCTCACTGGCTTCAGGGCAACAACACAGGGAAGCCCAGGACTTTCCTAGGGAGGCAATTACAAATGTGGGCGAGGTACAAACCCATGCCCTTTGCAGCCCCTCACTTCTGGGCTGAGCACGCAGCTTGGAGGAGCCTCATTTTCCCACCACAGTTGCGGGTAGAAATGTCTACCTGTCCTGCCATCACCACTCCTCTAGTTAACAGAGTGCTTTTTCGTATGATCACATTATTTTGAAGGCGTAGATTCCGAGGCAGAGGGCACACGTAGTGGTGTGAACCCTGTCCTGCAACACAGCAGTCTCAGAGCAAGGCGGAGTGCTCATCCTCCCCAAATCACAATATAACCATCAAACTACACTGCTCCCCGTTCCAGGAGAAAGAGGGAGTGAATGGTGTCTGCTTATCTTTGTTATGAAGTCAAAGCATCATGTTTTGCTTAAAACCAAGACTGTTTCAATATTCAAAATCCTCCCCTCGACTTGGCACCTCTGCTTAAGCATAAAGTGCTTTGCAGCTATAGCCAGGCTTCAGGCTTGCCATTTGTTTCTAATTACTGCTTTGAACGATTTCATTGAAATTAAATACATGCAAGTGTAGCATTCCTTAAAGTTCAGTGTTTACTTAAAGAGTTTATTACTTATTTTTACTGGAATAATACAGAATGTAGTCAGTAAGATGAACCTTTTCCCAACTGCATTCTCTGCAGAAAGCCACGGAAGGAAGGAGGGAGTATGAATATGTTTGAATGAAATTACAGCAAAGAGATTATTTTGCTTTCTAGACATCTGCATTGCCTGGACTTTACCCCTTTCTGGTCCAGACAGGGAAGGCTTTCCGTGCTTTTAACCCCTCCGTGGAGCCAGGTGTGTGTGTGGAGGCTGTTATGAGCAACCTGGCTTGGCAAAGAGAGATGTAGCACGTGGGGTAGACGGAAGATCCCTTCAACTCTGACTGCAGCAGAGCAGAGGGAAGCATTGAGAACAAGTTGGAGACATGCGGGTGGATCTAAAACTGAGAGATTTGGGAGGGCAGGCAGCAAGAGGTTTTTCAGCCCACAAACTGGATGAGGGGTTGCAATTGTCCCAAGCCACAATTTCCACAAGGCTTTCTGCCCAGTCCTCTCCCTGCTTCAGTTAACAGCCGTGGCGTTAGCAGGATCAGACTGATGCTCGCCCGTGGGCAGTGCTGTGGGATCTGAGCAGCTCCCAGTGCCTCACTATAGGAAGTGCTGAGCTGACCTTGGGGGTTTAGACTTTTCAGTAGCTACCTCATCAATTTTCTTTGCATTGGATGTTCATACACAGCTGACTGTAATCCAAAGTAAAAAGGTCTCAAGTGATCCCTTCTCAAGGTAGGAAATGTGTTTTGTCTAACAGACTGTTGGTTTAACTCCCTGCCTAAATGAAGAAACTTAAGACCAAAAATCCCACTTCCTCTGTTGCAAATATCTCAGCAAGACCTTGGGTGACACCTGTGCCTCAGCCTTCCCTCTTTTGAGGTGCTGGCCAACAGTTTTTGCTGACTCAGTTACGTCTTTCATTATCATGCCAGCCCCACCACAGGAAGCACGAGGGGAAACCAGCAGCATTGGTGGAGTAACCCTGAAACTGAATCTTGTTCCTTTAGGGAAAGCAACATACCTTCACACTGGCGAAGTCGTTGATGGCGTTGATATGCGGGCAGAAGTGGGGCTGCTGAGCCGCAATGTCGTGGTGATGGGTGAGATGGAGGCACGGTGCTATGAATACAGCAGCAAGTTATGCTCCTTCTTTGATTTCGACACCTTTGGGGGACACATCAAGGTAGGGCTGGAGCCCTCTCCTTGCACTTTCTTCCACCCAGCCACACCTTCACATACCAAGGGAACCAGGATGCAGGGAAGGAGGAATCCCTCGTGTCAGCCACTGAGCAAACGGCCTGTCCCCACAGTGCAGCAGATCCACCCCACTGCTGCTGCCTGTCCCTTGACTTTGAAGTGCACCTCACACCTCCGCACATGTTGCTCAGCCAGCCAGGCTGGTGTTCAACCCGTCCAAGATACAGTCTCCACATCCCAATCCCAGTTTTCCCCAGATTCTGCTGGTGCTCAGCCCAGGGAGTTTGATTTGAGCCCAGCTGACTGAAACTCATGGAAGATATTAAATCCTTCTAAAATGAAGTCAAATATAGCCATGGCAGCAGTGGTGGGATCAAAGAGCAGCTATGGTCCCCTTAGCCACAGTGACCTTCTTTCCCTTACCCTGCAGCCACACACTCCCTTCCGCGCAGTAAATCTCTCTAGGAGATACAGTGCAACCCTTCCTATCTCCGTATTCCCCATCCTTCTTGCCCTCAACAGTCTTTTATGTCTCTTGACTGATGTTCTGTTGTTCTTCAGATTGGTCTTGATTTTAAGGCTACCCATATTGAAGGTCTAGAACTGAAATACATGGGCCAGCAGACGATGGGACATTACCCAATTCACTTCCATATGGCTGGAGATGTGGATGAGAAAGGAGGCTACAACCCTCCAACGTATGTGAAGGATGTCTCCATCCACCATACCTTCTCCCGCTGTGTCACAGTCCATGGATCCAATGGTTTACTGGTAAGAAACTCAAATGTCTGCCTTAGAGATCAAGGCACCAGTCAAAATATTTCCTCATAGCATAAATACAGCTTAGTTATTTGCAGGGTGATGTGTTTTACTGTTAGAAATAGTGTCTGACTCCTCCCCCCATCCTGATTATGTGAATATATATTCCAGGCATATTTCAACCTGCATTAAAAAGGAGGAGGCTGATGTGGCACTGTAGGCTGTGTGTGACTCAGAGCAGGCAGAGCTGTTGTCTGTGACCAGCCCATCTCTAATGAGTAGTTGGATCTATCTATAGACAGACAGCTTGCTATTTAGAGAGGATAATCAGAAGGTTTAACTGTGCTTCATCTTTCCTATAACAAAGATTTGTGTTTGCAATGCCGTTCACAACATTAAGCATTCACAGAGCTCTGATTTGTCAGAGCGGCTCTCCAAAACAGTAAATCCTTTAGGATAAATCTATAAAATGACCTATGCTTACCAGACAAATTACAGGACACCAGGGATGATAAGAACATGTTCAGGTTCTCCCCAGATGTAGGGGTGCCTCCTTCTTTGGGGTAAGGATGCAGAGGGAAAACAATGCTACCTTACTGAGCATCCTGGAGACTGGCACATAACCCCAAAAGTCTTTCCTCACTCTTATCCCACCTCTGATGGCTGCTTCTTACCCATATTCAGGAAATGTGCAGACATTTACCCCAAAAGCAGAGCTGCTAAAGGTGTGAAATAAACAACAGGTTTGACTAGACAAGTTTTCCCCTAGTGCCATCTCGAATACCAAGTCTTAAATGCCAAGATTCCTGTAGGCAAAGGACTCTCACCCGTTCAGTGAGACAGCAGTGTGTTCTGAAATGAAAAAAGTGTATGAGAGCCCTGAAGAGGAATATTTGTACAGTCAAGAGCCCTGCTACCATATAAAACAGAGTTTTAAGAGAGGACACATCATTAGCAGTTGTAACCTGGATGGTCACAGCACATTAGGAGTTCATATCTACACCACTGTTTTAAAGTTACTGTACCGCCTCACAGCAGGAGCCTGTAAGAATTTGGGGGATAGCATTTCCTTTCAACACCTAGCTAAGACCCTGTACTTGTTGATTAATACTTCCTCCTTTACCGACTCCAGCAAATGAAGGGCTTCATCTTACAGCCTCCCTTTTGGCAAGGACCACAGGCTACAACCTTGAAAAGTGACAACATTGGAAGGGGAAGTCACAGGCATAATTAAAACACACAGAAGCTGAGGAGAGGGCATTGAAATTGCAGCTCCAGAAGCAGAGCAGCTTTTATCTGCTATTTATGAATCCGAGGTTTTGGTTTTGACCTCTACTCTTCTGAGTTTATAGCATGATCCTAAAAAGCTACCAAGTGAACACAGCTTCTAAAGAAAAAAGACAACCTACTATATAAATTATATAAGGCATTCAGGGTCATATGGCATCTTCTCAATTCAAAGTCGCCAGCACAAGGGCTCAGTATACAACTAATGTGCAGAGTGGAAAGGCAGTGTTGTGGGATCCCTTTGTCACACCATCATGGGCTGCTACCAGTGGCACCATAAACACATTCTCTGGCTGCACGGAGGTTACCCAGCTGTTGATGAGCTGCAGGTCAGTTAAAGCCCTGCTTCTGGATCTAATGTGAGATTTTCATTCCCTATTGATTAATACTGGCCAAACCAAAGACGCAGAGCCTGGCATTTTTCTTATCGGTCAGACAGATGGGTTCCTGTAGAGCATTTGGAAATAGTTCTGTCTCTTATGCTTTCTCCAAGTGACAGCTATGCCATGGGGCATCCATGGCATAGGGTTCCACATGCTCAGGCCTTTTCAGCCAAGATGGCATGATGAAATTTAGACAGGCTGATGTACCTGATGAAAGCAGCTTCATTGTTGTTACTCAACAGCCACAACTCCCAAAATGACTGTGCTTCGCCACCATGACAAGGCATCCAGGGGAAATCTTACAATTTAGGACATATAACCTGAAACATTAGTCAAGAATTTAGTCTCTGTTGATTATAATTTATAAAAAGGTGCAAATACTAAACTCTACTCATAATACTTAACCTATTGCTTATTTTACCCATTTAATTACTGACAGCAGAAATGAAAGCCCCAGTGAGATAAAGCAATCTGACCAAGTTTGTTCAGTTGCGTCACTGAAGACATGCTCCAAAGGCTGCATCACTTAAATGTTGTTTCATTGCTCTGTGGTAGACATCTGTAGTCAAGCAGCTCCATGCCCTGATTCATCAGGTGATCCCATCACAATCTCATCTGCTTTCTGACTCTATTTTCCTTCCTTTCGTCTTCCTGCTACCCCAGATATATTCACAGACACCCACATGAGTGTCTGATGAGTACAATGGTTCTTCTACACATTTCCTAGTTGCCTATTATCTTCTTACTTGGGCAATGCTACCTGTTTCTACATGCATGAACACCATTTATGCAAACAGCAATGAGTTCCACCTGCCCCCAGGTAACATTCATTCCCTCTGAGGACAGGTAGATCCAAAGCATACTTTGCTAAGGGAAATTTTGCCTTGATGATGTGCACAAATCACACTTTGGAAATAGCCATACAAAAAAATCTAGCTGGACTACTAAACCTCAGCAGAGCACAGCACTTAAGGATGTCCTTAACATTAGGCCATTGATTTCAAAGGAGCTTCTTGCACAACTATGGTTGAGCATCTGTGCAAATGCTTTAACAAATGGGAGAGGGGCTTCAGTTATTTTTAACTGTCATTAAAGCAGGCTGGTAATTTACATACAGACTTCCCTGCTTGCGTTGCTATCACTTTTCTCATGTCACTTCAAAGATACTCATATGGAAAACATTAGGACAAAAGGGTGTCCTGTTATTCCTAATGAAAGTTTTTCTGTGGATCTGTACAATGTGCTAAAAGTCACTGTCTCAGCATTAGCTCACTTCATTGATGGGCTTCATTCTGCACAATGCTACAAGTCCATATTCATTGGAAGACTCAGAGGGTCCTTCTGGAAACAAATCTGTAGAAAATTCTTTTCTCACCATAATTATTGTTTGAAAATGCAATAATTACCCGATGTTTTCTTTAATACATTGGCCATGAAACCACCTAGTTATGCCACTGCAATCCCAGGGATGAAACTTTGCTCTGATTCCCACTCTCTCCACTGGATGCCAACATGCAGGCTAAAATAGAAACAGTCATCAAGGTGGGAAATGAAATGGAGGTCAATAAACTGTCTGGCAGAATCCAGGGGAGAGCTGTACTTCATGCAATAAGAGGTTGGAATAACTGCTTCAGTGGTATCTGCTTTTAGTAATCCAGCTACACTACACAGCAATTGTTTCACCATGAAGGGCATTATCTGGCCATAAATTACTCATGGTTAAAGTAAGATTATGGACTATTAGGAAGGTTTTAATCAAATAAAAAATTAAATTAATTGGAAAAGTGATTTTGGAACAAGCATCTCATTTGCTATCCAAGCATCTCAGTGCTGGGCTTGTGCATGAAAACACACACAGCAAACCAAGTCAGAGCTGACCAAGAGATGAGATATGGGGAAAGTAGTTAATCAAATGGAGGGTGACAAATACATTAGGGACCAGGTCCCTGGCTGATAGTTCTGACTTGTTTGGAGAACATGTCTTATGAGGAGCGGCTGTGGGAACTGGGGTTGTTTAGTCTGGAGAAGAGGAGGCTAAGAGGAGACCTTATCGCTCTCTACAACTACCTGAAAGGGGGTTGTGGCAATGAGGGTGTTGGTCTCTTCTCACAAGTAACAAATGATAGGACAGGAGGAAATGGACTCAAGTTGCACCAGGGGAGGTTTAGATTAGATATTAGGAAAAACTTTTTTACTGAGAGAGTGGTCAAACATTGGAACAGGCTGCCCAGGGAGATGGTGGAGTCACCATCACTGAAAGTATTCAAAAAACGTGTGGACATGGCACTTTGGGACATGATTTAGTGGGCATGGTGGTGTTGGGTTGATGGTTGGACTTTATGATCTTAAAGGTCTTTTCCAACCTTAACAATTCTGTGATTCTGTGTTGTTCTGTGGGCTTTCAGGGATGAGCTAGGAGAACAATGGGTGTTTGCTGGCTCTGAGCCCCTCTGCCAATGCGCCCTCCTCTCTCCGCTTCTCTCCTCTCTCACCGTACCAGGAGGTGCGTTCCCCTGTGACGTTACTTCCCACGCACAGAGGTGGGCTTTGCCCCGCTATGGTCCGGTCATTACAGGTTTTCATGTCCTAGTCCTGGTGCAGTGTTGTGCTGGCTGCAAAGATAAATGGCCATCCAAATGGCTATCATTTCTCTAAGGAAACCCTTCCTGTCATCTAAATGTCACAGCACCATTACTTACATGTCTTTCCAATATATGTTCTGTGAGAGAAAGCTAACAGGTTTCGGTGGCAGTTTCTGTTCAATTCTGACATCTCTGTGGTTAAAAGACTTCCTCTACATGTTGGAAAACTCCTTCTGAAGATAGGTCATTCTCCTGGAATGTTCTCCTATCCCATAAACTTTTACCACTACAAGGCTGGGACAACTCATGCTTTCAAGGGGGGACAGTTCAGTCTAGTATATACGTTTTACACCTGAAAAAGTATCATCTCATTAGATCGGGGAAGTTAGCAGTAAATTTTGGTGAGGTACTTTAAAGGAATGTGCCACTTTGCAGGTTACTTTAGCTGTGTTTAATTTTCTGTGATGACTCGTGTTCAGAGATTTGAATATTTACACTGGAGCACAGATGATACATAATACACGTGTGTGCAGCTGTAAACTTGTAATAGATTTGGCAAGCAAAGTGTTCTTTCTTATGTGAAAACATATTTGTAATCATTTAATCACTAGTCCTGGCACCTGAAATTGGTGCTCCTTGCCTTGAGAACAAGGCATGAAGATGACAGAGGAGTCCCAGGCCTGTTTACAGAAGTAGTTCAGGCACTTGAGCACCCAGGTGTCTCAATGACCATAAAGAAAAGGCCTTCTACCTAGTTCAATATTGTCTTTTGCCCTTTGGCAATTGCTGTTTCATTGGAAGCATTTGTAGGAACACATTGGTGTCAGGCTAAGCTTTGCCAGGAAGATTTCCTGAGTCCAAGGTGGTTGATGGGTGGAAGAGCCAGGAGAGAGCCCAGGAGAGCCAGAACTTCACCTGGCCGATGGAGACTGAAATTAATTTTCCATATCCCAGACATATCCACTAACAACTGTCTTGCTGGACACGGTGTGTCTGAGGGCTGTTGTTTCCCAGCCAGTCCTAACCTTAGGCTTTGAATTCACATATCTGCTCCTGAAATTGTTTTCTCACATTTTTCAGTGGGGTGATGGGTATTGTTCGTCCAACACAACGGTGTCCCAATGTTGACAACATTCAAACCAAAACCAGAACAGCTCTGATTAACACCAGCTGATTTGTTTCAGGGTCAAGTAAAGCTCCTGTCAACAACTGGGAAAAAAGGATCAGGTCAAACCTAAGACAAGGCAGCCTGTCTGGAAAACAACTTGCTGCCTCTCTGATAGACTGAAAAAATATTTTTTCAGCTCAGCTGCATTTTTCAGATGCATTTTATGTAGCTACTCATGTAACTCCACGTGAAGATGAATGAGCCCAGATGTGATTTGAACATGTAACATCCTCCATTCATCCCCCAGCCTGTGCTTTTTCCAGCCTCATGCTAAGACAGTCTCTGATTTCACAGGCAGACAAAAGAATGGAATGACCATTTCCTAGGTGATGACAAATTCTAATTAAATTTGTGTTGGAGTTATTGCTTATAGTATAGGCTCTTAAGAGCAGAGAGTGATCTTGGTTTTGTTTTTGCTTATACACCCTGAGTTCAAGAGGGTACTGAGGTTCCTATGTGCCATTGCTGTAAAGTTTCTTCTTATTACGCAGTGGCTGAAGCATGAAACCTGAACACTGACCTTTGTTTTCTGCATGCAGGTGAAGGATGTTGTGGGTTACGATGCACTGGGACATTGCTTCTTTACAGAGGATGGACCAGAAGAGCGCAACACATTTGATCACTGCCTTGGACTGCTTGTTAAACCTAGCACTCTGCTCCCCTCCGACCGAGACAGCAGGATGTGCAAGCTGATCACGGAGGGAGCTTACCCGGGGTACATCCCTAAACCCAGGCAGGACTGTAGGTGAGTGAGATTCTTCCTTTTCTTCTTTCTTTTCTTTGCAGGACTTAGCCACAGAAGATGGCTAAATATGTACATGTATATGATTATGTAGTCATCTGTAGAGGTCTGAGCTGCACAGCCCAAAGGTTGGGAGAGCAGACTCCTGGGATCTTTATACTTGTGCTATTCAGATGCCTGCACAGCTAGGATGTAATTTTCATTTTTAGCATAAAGTCAATTGAGATGGTTGCTACCTCAAACATGGAAAATTGCTCCTTCAGAGTACATGGTGATGCCTTGTGCCTTATGGAGTCATGGTCCCAATGGCTCAGCGAACAGTTGCTGAGTTCAGAATGGGCTGGGTTCTGACATTCGTGCTCATGTCAAATGGGAGATGATTTTGAAAATACTCCTATTAATCAAGAAATCATTATTTGTAAAGAACGGATACTGTTAAGCATTAGAGTTTTTTCTTAGAGGAATTCATGTGTTCTTCATTAGCAGTAATTTTTAATGACAGGTTAGAGAAAGGCCAGTCACAAATACTGTAGTTGCAGTTGACCCTGTCATAGGCAGGGTATGGACTCACTGAGCTCCTGAAGGCCATTCTAGCCCTCCTTCCCATGATTTTCCAGCTGTTTTTCTGCCTAAAAATCAAGGTGCACAACCTAGGGATATGATTTCATTGCTAATTACTGGCTGTTCAGGGGACCTGCTCATTTTCATGCATATCAGGCAGCTAATTATCTTTCTTTTTCTTCTCCCATCCCCCCAGCTCTTCTTGAGAGAGTACTAAACTCTTAAAGTAAAACCTGTGTGCTTAGCAGCTAGGCAAGCAGATCCCCAGCGGTAGCCCAGGGAGCATAGCAAGTGGTCTGGAGAAAATCTCTGGAACCATGTTGTTTTCAGAGTGTTTTCCATTAAAAACTGGATGCCAAGCTTGCCTTTAAGAGTTTAAAATTGATGATGGATCATCTTGAGGACAAGACTCCTGTGCAACAGAATGGGAGGTCTTCCACAGTGAAGTTTTGTCTTGAGATCATAGAGCCCTGGCGCTGTGTTGAAGCTGCTGGGAGACAGGAACACTTCTGCCCATAGTCCAGATTTTTCTCCAGGATTTTATTCTGCTGCAGTTGGAGGGCGGGGAGGGGAGCTAAGTTGCTGACACACAGAAAGTCAATGAGAAAGTCTCTGGAGCCAGACTTACATCCTGAAAGTGAGACAGTTAGAAGCTGATTGATGCCTAAAACTAAAAATCTTCAGGGATTTTCTTTTATTTGGAAATACTCTCAATCTGCTGAGACTGTTTCAGTATCACCCATGCCGTCCTCAGAACAAACTGGGGTTTTGTCCAAAGAAACATATTTTTAGCTTTTTACTTTGGCAAGGGCAAGAGATGAATTCATGCAATGCTCTTTTTCACATCTGTGTTTGTTTATAAATTACACTTAATGTCTCCATTCATAAAATAAGAGTTAATCAGCCATTGTGCTCATTTTCCACTGATAATCCATTTAATAGACAGAGAGACATCTTTTGTGTCATTTAGGAGACTCTTACATGAAAAAGCACTAGGAGAGATAGGCGGAGATCTAATGAAAAGGTCCTACGGTACTTTGATCTGTGATGTCTTCCTTCGTAAAAAGAATTCAAGGTCTGATCAGAAAAATAACTTGTTTTGCACTGGGATCATCCACCCTGTAAGTGCATGAGTACACTAACGCTACCCCTGAGGCAGCAGCGAAGGCACTCAGCGCAGGGACAAGGGACAAGCACCGGCTGCGGCTCCGTCGGCTTGGAAGAGGCAGGCAGGCAGGCAGGCAGGCAGCTGCTGCCAGAAATTAGGACAGTAGGATTGTGCCAAATGACACAGTAACCTGCCCAATCCACGTGGCTCTGAGAAATGGGAATGGGCTCAAAGACAGGTCACTGTGGAAATACAATGGCCTTGCATACGCAGCAGGAGGTAGTCTATAAATAATCCCAAATTGTTTCTTTCTAGGCCTGTCTCATGCCCAAAATAGAAAAATTTTGCTGTTTTCATGAGGAAGTCTCACAAACGGAACTTCATCTTAGGCCAGCAAAATCAGTTGGCCTAAAGCCCCCATGAAGTCCTTCACAGCAAGATTAAAATAGACATAAAGGTTCCATAGGTTCATTCCCTGCAGGAAGGTGAACCTTACCCAGCAGATTTAGGGAGCCAGCCTGCTGGTTGTAAGCACTGGATGTTTTCCTCCCAAAGTTCATGTGCTGTTGGTTAATGAATGCTGTATGTCACAGCACCGACAGTGATGGATTGGTCTTTCCTCCTTGATGGGAATCTTTCAATTAAGAATCTTTTATGTGCATTAGGCAAATGGAGCCCCTTTGTCCCAAAAGAAATGCATAGGAGGGTGGGAGCAAATAAAGTTAATGAATCACAGCAGCTCTTGGACAAGGAAGGTACCAGGGTACACCTGGAAAGCCCTTAAGAGGCAATTCATCGGGTCCCTTGATTAAACAAGTCTCTAATGAACCTGAGGGCTTATTTGGGGGCAATGCTCTTTTCTGTAACCTGTGCAACAACATATTTACCTTATCATAAAACATGATTGACATCTGACAGCTTCATAGCAGGCTTGGAATTGCAGTAGAAATTCCTCATTTAATACTCGGCTTTTCAAAAGATAAGGCCATGCTCTCTGTCAAATCGCAGAGGACAAATGTGGTATGAGAAGAGAAAGAAAAAAACCATTCCCATTGCCCCCTAGGCAGGACCCCTTATCTGGGGGGTTATCGGCCCTGCCTGTACTGGGGGGAGTTGATCAGTGACTCTGGTGTGTGCTTGAAGTGTCATTTTCATGTTACTCTTTGTTTTCTTGACCTGCAGCGCTGTATCCACCTTCTGGATAGCCAACCCACACAACAACCTTATAAACTGCGCAGCTGCTGGATCTGAAGTGAGTGCAGAAGTTTCTTATTTGGTAACAACTCAGACCAGTTACAGCCCTGCAAGGCTGAGGCTCTTGCTGGAATAAAACCTGCTTCTGTTACTCAAGCATTTTTGAAACTGATAGATCGAGATGTATATTAATGTGGCTAGTGCTGCCAATAAAAAATAATATTTTTCTTTTTCCTCCACATTTCTTGTCACTTGCTGTTTCTAGAGCTGGATGGCTTTAACAAAAATTCCCAGGCTTTGCACGGTGTGCAGACTGAATAAATTAAATAAATGTTACTGTGGAGTCTCAGTGAAGTCTTTGGCAATGATTCTGTTGATTGCAGTACAGTAATGGTGCTCTGAAATTTCAATCAGCACCAATGCTAATTCAACAGGAATTCTTGGTCACACCAGGAGCCTTTATTTTCCTACTAAGACAAATAAACAAGCAAACCAAGACTTAAACAAAGAGATGTGGTCTTTCCAAAGCTTCCAATCTGAATACATCGATTCAGGCTCCTAGATACATTTTTAAGCAACTAAATAAAAATTATTTGATTTTTAAGATGCTCACATGCAGTGATAGGAGGACATCAGTGTATATGTGCGTGTTATGGATTTCAAAAGTCTTGCTTATAGCTTCAACATAGATGTCAAAGCTTAACTTAAGGCACTGTGAAGATGCTGGTCAGGAGTGTGAATGGGAATGTATGTGTGTGTTAAACTCTTTGCTGCACATAGTTATACAGGTCAATGCTGCTAGCTGTGATTTGTCCTGAAATCTTCTGGCTTACGTCTTGTGGCTTTATTGTTAAATCATTGGGCTAATGTAGACCAGCAAAGAAGCTCAAGCAAAGGCTCAGATGTCTGTTGTCTTTCTCAGGAAACAGGCTTTTGGTTTGTTCTGCACCACGTGCCGACGGGGCCCTCGGCGGGCATGTATTCCCCTGGCTACTCGGAGCACATGCCGATGGGGAAATTCTCCAACAACCGCGCACATTCCAACTACCGGGTGAGTCTGCACGCAACGGGAACACTGCCCTCGAAAAAAACACCATTTCGGTCCAGCTCTCTGGGTCTGCAAGCTATTAATGTCTGTGCTTTCTGTTTCACTAAAAGTTACTGCAAGCTTGTCTGCAGATAAAGCAGCTTGTGTGCTGGCGTGGAGGCTCTCGGAGTCAGCCAGCACCCGCTTCACTTGGCTCTTGGGCATTCAGAGAGGCTCTTCCCTCTGCTCAGGCTGCTTCTTTGCTTCTGCACTCCTAAAATAGTGCCTCCAGGAGCATCTATTGGCAGCTTGTCTAATTATAGACCTCAACTGCCAATGTTAGCAATTAACTGAACAGCTTCTAGAGGGATAAATACCGGCCACTGTGTCTAATCGCCTTCTCTTTACTTATTTACCCTTCACATGCCGTGTTGTGGGGCTGTATGTTACTGCTACCGAGGGCTTTAGACTGTAGTAGGGTGTTTATGTGTATGGGGATAGATACATGCATTTACAAGAGATGTGCAGTTTCTGGAAATTTGCAGCAATTTGGGGGCGTATATGCAAGTCCGGATAGTCCGGCAGCCCTCTGTTTGACATGCTGCTAACGGAAGCAGTTATTAGGGTCATGCAAGTGACTTTGGTTTAGAACACCGGGAGGCAGAGCCTGGAGGTGGGAAGAGCTGTAAAATCTATAAATATACTGTAATATTGCTTATCTCTTTTCTTTTAGGCTGGAATGATCATTGATAATGGTGTGAAAACCACTCCAGCCTCAGCCAAGGACAAAAGACCTATCCTGACACTGATTTCTGGGAGGTAAGGGTTTTGCACGCTTCTGGTTTGGAAAAGACTTCTCTATAGCACTGACTGAAAGCTATGAAATTGCCCCCAAGGAGGCTGACAAGAATCATTGCAATGCCTTTGGGGTGGCTCTTACTGAGGAAAGGTCTTCGCTTGGATTTACTACTTTTTAATTTTGTCTTCCCCATTCCCAATCCTAAGGGACCCCCAGCACCCACACACTTCTGGTTTTGTCCTTGCACTTTAGCTGGAGGGGATATTACATCTGTTCTACGGTGTTCCATTGACTTTTAACTTTTTGTGGATAAGTAAGAAAATTACATGTTGTCTGGTCAACAGCCACACTGGGCAGAACTTGCTGCAAGAGTTTCCCAGGAATAAGAAATTAAAGTATTTCCTGGGAATGCTGTTGATCGTCTTCATTCTTGTAGGACCTGCTTGAACAGGGAGCGCTTATGTGATGGAGCTTACACTTTGATTTCCAGTTTCTGTCTAGTTCCAAATCTGATGAAGCAATAACAATTAAATACGCAGATCAACCCTTCATCCCTGCTGCTGTGCCCAGCCTCTGTGCGGCATAACGGAGTCATTTAGACATACTGAAAACCTCTCTATAGACCATATCGTATCAGCAGACCTAACATGGTCTGAAGGCTTCTGAGAGTCCCCACTCTTTTCCCAAAGCTGACCCCAGCGAGGAGGCTGATGTAAGCAGAGGGCTTCTTGCGGGCAAAGTGTCATAGCATAAGGACCACACTTGCACCCTTTTATCTCTTTAAGTTGAGTCTGGCTCTTGACTTAGTTACCAGCCCCAGGGAGAGAAAAGGACTTAAATATTCTCAGGTTTCATAGTTTTCTTTCCTGCCAGACCAATTGCCTCCAGTGGCACCCAACCTGCATTCCCCCATGACTGGATTTCCTCATAGAAGAAACCAGGTAGGGAAGAGAAACCTGCTGCAAACCTCTGCTCAGCAGGGCAGAATGACTGTTAATCTCTTCCCTTTCTCCTTTCCATCTCTGGGGAAGAGAGATGATTCAGAGAGAGGTCCAGATTGCTGCGTTGCAGGGGTGGGGTCAGTCCTCGTCCCCCAGGGAACCCAGCCAGCAGCTCAGGTATCGGTTATTCTGTGAGCCACATCGCTCCAGTGCCCTGCCTAACACCTGATGATAAAAGATGTTCAGAAGTGAATGTGATTTACATTATTTTTATGCTCAACTAATTGAAATGATTAATTCAATAATAAAAGTAACTCCTAAGAAAATAACTTATTAAGAGAAGCCTGCTCTGTAAGTATCACCAAATTCTCTTGGGAGCTTGATGCTTTTCCATATTGCTGAGCGCGTGCCTTGGGAAACTGCCTGCTGCCACAGACGCAGTAAGTGATTACAAAAGGCAATTTGTCCCTTGCCATACAAGGGCAGGAATGACCCCTGGAAGCCAAGCAATTCATAATGCAGTCACGTTTATGCTTGGGGGTTGCCCCCCAGCACAGGCTACAGTTCACATTTTTTATACCACTTTCCACTTTTCATGTGACAAGACTGAAAGACCGAATGAATTATTATAGCTGGACTGTCTGGGGCAAACTGTGAGGTAGGCTGGACAGTTGGAGACATTATTCTGCATTCAGTTACAGCATTAAACATCTGGGCCAAATTCTGTACTCTGTAGTGTTCCTCCAGTTATACATGGATGTAAATGAAATGGGAATCCATCTCAAAATATCTGTATTTAACAATGTCTGGGGAATTCACAAGGGCTGGTACTAAATCTCTCTCTGAAAGCAAACTCACAGTGATGAAGCTGCCAAAGCAATATTCATTTACTGGAACCCTATCAGCCCGATGCTCAGTTTTAGATTGCTATGATGGCTTATTAAGCAAAGCAAAGCGCTATTGAATATCTGTTAGCCATTTGACAGCTTGGCCTCGCTAACCATGGGTGAGGCATGAATTTTAATCTCTGGACCATCCTTTGCTGGCACTGAGTTGGATACTCATCTGTCAGGCTTTCTAAGCTGTATAGTGTGATGGAAGATGATTCTTCAGTAGCAAAAGGGAGAGCTGTGCCTCCGGACTGGGGAAATGAGAGCCGAGCTCAGCATCACCATAGCGAGCCAGATCCTTGCTCAGATCCTGTAGCCCAAGCGGTGGCCAACAGGCAGCAGCTGAGGGCAAACATTGCTGCAGTTTCCACTCATGTCTGCTTTTTTCCTACGTCAGGCCAATATTTCATCATACTTGAGAACTTCAAAGTTAATAAATCTCGTACATGTGTCATGCGTGGGTAACGTATAGTGGGAATAACAAAGGACATACTCTCAGCCCCTCTCCAAGATGTTTTAATTCCTTTCCACAGCGAGGAAAATTTGGCAGTGGTGCTCATTGCCACAGTATAGCCAAGATTAGGAGATAAGAATGTTCAAAAGGGAAAACAAAAGGATATTTATCTAAATAACAGGGATATACTAAAGGATAACAGTAAGGGTTTAAAAAATATCTCAGACTTTTGGGAGCAATAATAAACTTTCCATGCTTTCAGCAATATATCAGCAATACAATAATGGAAAGGTGAAAGGAAACTTGGAGCAGGTCTTTACAACTGCTTTGCCTGGACCATCCTTCCCTTGGCAGTTGGGTCTGGCCATTGCTGCTTGACTAGACATGCTACTTGGATAGACTGTTGTCCCAAAGCTGTTCCTGAGTTAGCAGAAACCAGATGTTTAGCAGAGTCGTGCACCGAGCAAGGCTGCCTTCCTTCGCCAACCTTTCTTCTCTCCTTCTGGTTACAGATACAGCCCACACAAAGATGCTGATCCTTTGAAGCCCAGGGAACCTGCAATAATTGAGCACTTTATTGCCTACAAGAATCAGGATCATGGGGCCTGGCTGCGGGGTGGAGATGTGTGGCTGGACAACTGCCAGTGAGTTTTGCCTTATTTCAACTCTCGGAGTTCAGCCTGGTGTTTATGGCAAGCATAGCTGTGGTTCAGACTATATCGCTTTGCACCTTTCGTATATCCAAGATTGAAATAAAGATGAAATGTTAAGTAAACACAGGCATTATTTTAGATAAACAAAACCTGCTTTGTCTGAACTGAAGTTCCCTCAGATTGTTTCTCTGTGTGATCCTGACCAGCATTCAAAAATGGTCACATACACACAGACACAGAACACACAGATGCAAATAACTAAAAATAAAAACTATATTTTTACATGAAAAAATTAGGTGCTTTGATAAGAAAGCAGCAAAATCCACCATCTTCTGTGGCTAAACCTGGTCACAGATGAGTTTTATGTGGTTCACTGTTATGCTGAATAAGCGAGTACTGATGAAGCAGACCTAAACCTACACATCGAAGTGGCAAGGGAGGGAGACTGGGCAAGTGCATGTTGTGCTCTTTGAAGGCTGTTTCCTGCACTGGTCAGAACAGATATTTGTTGCACTTGAAAACAGATGATCTTCTACAGTTTCTTTTGCTGAGCCTGGCTCTTGATATCAACCTTAATGAAGAAAGAGGAGAAAAAGGAAAAAGCTATTTTACGAGGCACGTTGTGATAACCCCAGCAGGAAAAAAACTGGTGTCCAATTCCCAGCCAGAACTGCCTTACCTTTGAGTGACCCAAATCTCTTAAAGCAACCAGTGGTACGAACTTGCTCTAGCGACCAGTCAGGTTGGCGAGAATGAGACTGGAGCAGAACAGTCAGAAACACGATATTCAGTAATACAGTTTGTGCTTCTTACGAGTTTATGAACCAGAAGTATCTAGCACACTCCATGTCCAGCAAGAGTTGTCTTTGCAGATCACACTCGTGTAACTGAGACATGTGCATCGCTTATGGAGCAAACGCAGCGCGTGGAGGTTGCTAGAAGACTGAGTACTTTACCAGTTTGCAGCAGCAAACCTATGAGTGTATGTGAACTCGAGGAAGCAGCCATCAAAGTCTAATTGTCTTTATAGCCACAGTAATTTCCAATTCTATTGCTACAGAAAGACTTATGTATTACGTTAACAAAACAAATGTTAATGTGGCGTGCAGTACATAAGCTACGGTGTACGTTTATGGGGCTGGAGAAAGCAAAGGGGAGGCGATAGCGTGTGAAGGGCTGCCACCTACAGCCAGCAGCAGGACAAAGCTGGGTTTTACTCTGCTGTGGCGTCTCCACTGGTATTTTTGCCGAGATCAGTGATAGAACTGTTAAGAGTGACACCGATATGAAGATACCATCAAGACTTAACTCAGTATCATATTAATTCTAGCCTTCCTATAAGCAGGAGTCATGGACCGACAGTTGCAATTTACGTCATCTAAAAGCTTTGGAATTTCAGCAAAATGGAAGGACATTTTAATTTTTTTATTATTTCTTTTATAAGCAAGATCTGAACTCTATCCTCCTGTTGATGAAAGAGAAGCCAAGCTTCTCTGTTTTTAAAACAGTTCCTCTTGTTAAGTTATATCATGGAAGCGGTATGTGATACATGATCACAGGGGAGCACAGAGGTGTGCATAAGGTAAAGCACTATTAAATAATAAAAGCTAGCTGGAGTGAGAGATACGTGTGTTCTTTTCACCTAACAGTGAAAAGAGCATGGTCGTTAGACACAGGGAAAAAGCTTTATCAGACAAGTAAACTATGCCCAGTAATCTCTGACTTAACCTCAGCTTGGAGCAATCAGGTGCATGTCTGCTGCTTCGTATGATCTGCACATACTGCAAGCTGTGCCAAAAAAGATCTTCCAAAACTGGACAGGGAACAAACCTGGAAGAGCCTCCCCATGAGCACTGTTCAGTAATTAAGCCCTGCTATCCTCCACCTCGCTGGTTTGGTTATTTTAGTTTGACGTGATAAAACAAGGCAAAACCAAACGTCTTCTGAAGCATCTCTCTTCTCTCTGCAGGTTTGCTGACAATGGCATTGGCCTGACCTTGGCGAGGTAAGAGTGGCGCAGGCTGTGCTGCAGCTTGGGGCGCAGCTGGTGGGGATGGGTGTCAGCACCCCCTTCACCTCCCGCCCTTCCCTCCTAGTGGTGGGACTTTCCCTCATGATGATGGCTCAAAGCAAGAAATCAAGAACAGCCTGTTTGTTGGTGAGAGTGGAAACCTGGGCACCGAGACGATGGACAACGAGATCTGGGGACCTGGAGGTCTGGATCACAGAGGAAGGACGCTGCCCATCGGCCCGTAAGTTCAGCTCAGCACATCAAAGCACTCACTGTCCCCACTCTCAGTGCAAACTCCAGCCCAGTGTGGGCTCTTCAGCGCTGTTCAATTTAATAACCATTACACAAAAGGGATTTGGTTTCATGTTTCCCGATCCCAAAGTCCTCACCGTGCAGCTGCTGCTGGCAGGTACATACTTGCAGGCTGCCAAGACAGCATCAAACTCCTCTTTCCTTCCCTGTCCCCTTTGCAAACAGAGTTGAGAAGAGAGCAAGGGGACTATGTGCTAGCTGGGCACTTCTGTATATGTGGTCAGCAGTGATTGAGCACTGTGGCTGTCTCCATCCAGGTCAGCTGCCAGGAAAGCTCATAGAAGCCCTTCCCTGGGCTTGAACTGGCCCAGATGTGGTCATAGATGTCCTCAGAGCTGCTGTTTCTATTTCTACTGTGCTACAGGAATTTGATGCCTTTGTTAAATAGTTTTGAAATGGCCAGTGAAATTCACGTGTTGCCTCTTCCTAGACCTTAGTCCTACAGATTGGTTTGCAAGTGCAGTAATATTTTGTTATTTTTCCTAAGAACATAGTTATCCTAACGGTAGCCCTACAGTGAACAAACAGCTCAGCTGATTTTTTTCTGCCATATTACACGCCACAACTTCGCTTGTCAGTAGTGATAAAGGAGGCTTATTGTTAGCTACAGTAATAATGAAAACCCAGTGTGCTACAACTCTCCTTCTGATATCCTTTATGTATAAATATGTGGACATATCTCATCTTGGGTGTTGTGTGCGGAAATTCAGAGGGACGGAACAAATGCACAGGAGCAGGCAAGTCTTGTCTAAGGGAAACCATTCATATGAGGAAGGAATCAAATTTATTTATCATAAGTGAAATTTGAAACATCTTATCTTAGCCTCTTGAGCAGTTTAAGCATCTCGTTCACTTAATCAGTGTGAAAAATGGTGTCGTCTTTACCTTGCAGATGATATCAGAAAAGGCTGTTAATAAGGGTTCATTAGTCTGCCCCTTCACCTCTTTTCAACTCTATAGATTGTAAGACCTTTTCTTGTTTTCAAATCACTTTTTATTGCAGTTGAGTTGCACTGTTTCTCTCCAAGCTCCTTTGAAAGATGCGGTGGGACTTCTTTTAGCCCTGCCATTACTCAGCCCAAGGAGTCTGCATGAGTTTTGGGTTTCACCGCTGCAGAACTAATTTCTGATGGCAAACATGAATTTATTCATTTTTAGGTCAATGCTTTGGCATTGCTCTAAGTTCCTTCCCTTGGAGGAGCACAGAGCAAATAAAGACGATCTGTTCAGACATGAGAGAACTTGAGCTGAACTTGCAAGGATAAGAGGACTTCACAGACCTAAAAAGGAGGGAAATCCCTTCTTTTCCTAAACAGGAACTCAGGAATCATCTTAAGGGCCGTGAGCAATGAAAGCAGCTGAGAAACAAGTGCTGTGGGACTGTACGTGTCTAGAATACGTTCTCATCCTCATGCTAATGTGTCATAACCAAGTCTCCCTGTGTCTTCCAAATGTATTTTAGGGATTTTCCCATTCGAGGGATTCAGTTCTACGATGGACCGATCAATGTCCAGAACTGCACCTTCCGCAAATTCGCTGCCCTAGACGGCCGGCACACGAGTGCCCTGGCCTTTCGGCTCAATAACGCCTGGCAGAGCTGCCCCAACAACAATGTCACCGACATTCATTTTGAAGATGTCCCTGTGAGTTATCCTTCTCAGAAAGGCCTTTTCCAGTTGGCTTGGAAATGGGGTTGTGGGCAAAAAGGGTGTAGCAGCCTTTAGGAGAAAACACGAGATCTTCAAGAGGTTGCCCATCGTCTTTGCCAGAAGTTTAACAAAGAGGGTGGCAGCTAAGAAAATTGGATGGGTGAATTAACAAGAAAATCCAATTCTCTGACAGGTTTGCAGCAAACCAGAAGCAGGCATCAGTTTCAAAAAATAAATAATGACATTTGAGTGAAAATAATTTCCATTTCTGTATGTCTCAGAAACTGTGAAATAGAGAGAAGAATCTGCCCCTTTATTTTCAACAGCAGTATAATATTAAAGCAACAACAGAAGAAAGTCTGCTGTGGAAGGTCTGACTCACCTAGAAGCAGAAAATACTGATTTTGGGAAACAGCCAGTGAAACTGAGCCCATGTAGGGTAATTCTGCAACCCTGCACACCAGGGTAATTCCATGGACTCTGGTACTGCAGACATAAATGAGAGCAGAGCACAGCCAAAAGGGGTCTGCCAAACTTTGAATTACAGTATGAACTTCTGAGTGCTGGTCTGAACCTGTCCTGGGGTCTTTGCTTTTGAGTTATTTTTGTATTTGCTTGCACAAATATGTGCTAACTGGTTTGCTGAGGTTCACCTCTAGCAGCTGTTAAATCCAACTGCCAAACATTACAAACAAATAAATAAATAAAGTGGTTGGGACTGAAATGATTTGAGTTGCTTAACTTTCAAAAACTTAGCAAACTTGGTCGCATGTCAGAACAGTGCTGACTAGTGATCCTTGTGCCAAATGGGATGGGAAAGGCAAAATTCCCCTAAATGTGTTGGTTGGTCACTCTCTCACATTGCACCAGGCAGGCTGGTGACATGACATTTATTTATGCTGGATAAAAATATCAGTCAGAAGTTGCCTGAGCAGCCATTTCCCAGGGGAGTTCGCTGATTATTCCCAGCATCAGTGTGACTTTATGTGGCTTTGGAACCTTAAAAATATATCAGCAGACAATGAGTGAAGTGGCTGTAGTGAAATCGCTCTGGCTCCTGAACCTTCCTCCAGAATTTTAAAACAAACCTCACAGCTGAGGCTGAAATTTTTGTTTTAGAACAAGATTGTTTTAGCCTTTCCTCTATGGTCAGCAGTGAAATCTGTGTCTGCTCTGTCTGAAAATCAAACACACCTTTTAAGTGTGTGACCCAGCTCTACACTGAGCTCAGGCTTAACAAAGTGTGCAGGCAGAGACAATCCTAGTATGCCTGTACCAAATGGCACTGATGTTCCAACCAAGACCAGCTCAGCTGAAAATTATTTTGGTGCTTCCATTTTTGGATTGTTGGTTTCAGAAGCTCATAGTTTTCTTACCACGTTAGTGCCATCTCAGAGGACCTACAATCCCAGACTTCATCTGGGGCCTCAGAGCTGTTGAACATTAAACCTACAATGTCTTAATCTGAGCAGCCAAAATCTGTGGCCGTTCAAAGAATGGGGGTGTTAGTGCATACACTTCATGCACAAGTTGACCTACAAACCCATCACTACTTCTTGTCCAAGCTACTCTCCAATGCCAAATAAAGTCAGAAAATGGGTCCTTTGAGCCATTCTAGTGACCATAGCTATCCTTTGCTCTGCACTCTAAGTGATGAATTCCTTTCTGGAGACCTAAATGTGTTTCACTGTTTTGTTTAGATTACCTCAAGGGTCTTCTTTGGAGAACCTGGCCCCTGGTTCAATGATCTGGATATGGATGGTGATAAAACATCAGTTTTTCATGATGTAGATGGCTCTGTGTCAGAATATCCAGGCTCATACCTGATAAAAGAAGATAACTGGTTAATCAAGCACCCTGACTGCATTGATGTGCCTGACTGGAGAGGTTCCATCTGTAGCGGACACTTTGCACAGGTAAAGCTGCTTATTTTGCAGTATTGTTGTCGCATTTTTTTATTTTAAATTTCTTGGCACTGTAAAGCTTGATCTTTAGAATTGGACTTTCTTCAGGGTGCTCAGGGTTTATTTATCTGCATGTCTGCACAGGTAATTTTGAACATGAAGATACTGTCATACATTTTCAGATACTTTGGCCTTGACTGCTAACAGCTCTAACTTCTGCCTGAAGTCCCCTAAGAGCTCCATGAGCACTAACAGATTAATATTCATAAAACTATGGGCTGTCAGCTAGTTATTTTTACTTGATTTATGGAGGGAAGTGTTGCCCACAGTGTTATGGGAACTGTGCTGAGCAGTCAAAATTAGACTTCAGCTCTCATGATCTTTCATCCTGTTGTGTGACCACCAAACCATTCTTCCTACCACACAAGCTCTGAGTGCTGCTGCCTTGAGAGAGTACTCGCTTTCCTCTGATGAGTAGCGCCTGTTTTTATCTTAGGTGTTGCAACTGTTGGTTTTTTTCTGTGTAGTGACACTAAAGCCAATTTCTAACCACTGACCTGTTTTTCATGCTTCTGAAATCCAGGCAGATGTTCAGTAGAAGTCAGATGGCTGAGGTAGATACTGTCCCACTGCTGAGGGTTGCCACTAATGCTGTGAAATGCTTCAGCCCTCCTGCAGGCCTGTTTGAAGCCTTGACTGGCACATACTCTTGAACTCAGTGGATGAGGAAATGATCCTTCTTTTTTTCTGAAAACAGTTTACTTCATTGAAAAGGAAGCCTAAGAAACCGAATATAAGTGTATGGCATACAGGGCACTGCTGAAGTCACAGGCTTCGCACCAGTTCACATCTGTTGAATAGCTGCACCTTTAATGTTTTACCATCACTCATGAAACCCTTGGTGATCTTTGTTTTCACCTAGATATACATCCAAGCCTACAAGCCTGCCAACCTGAAAATGAAAATAATAAAAAATGACTACCACAATCACCCACTCTACTTGGAAGGGGCTTTGAGCAAAAGCACTCATTACCAGCAGTATCAGCCAGTTATAACTCTGAGGAAAGGCTACACCATCCACTGGGACAAGACAGCCCCTGAAGAGCTGGCCATATGGCTCATCAACTTCAACAAGTGAGTGATCCTACCAGATTCCAACATTCCAGCTCAATAATGTAACAGCACATTTTTAATGGGTGAGGTCATCACCTCATGAGCTCTTCCAGAATGAACATGCTTGTTCCAGGAAGTCCATTGACTTCACCATCTTTCCATTTGACATCTCAGATTCCTGTTTCCTCCCCTGGGAAGCACTGCAAGATAACACGGTTCATTTTTAGAAGCCTAGAGCTAATTCATTCCTGGTGCATGGAAGTCACAGGTGTAAAAGTCAGGAGCAGATCTGACCCACATTGCTTAACTAACCCGTGGTTGTTATGTCTAATTTACATTGCACTGCTTCATCCCAAATCATAAAATTTTAGCTGGCCAGGAAAAAATTAAGTTACATTTCAGAGTGAATTATTTAGCTTGGCTTCTACAATGCCCAGGAAAATAATAGTCACGTGTCAACTTGTTATAATGTGGGTCTTTGCTATTTTTAGGAACGACTGGATCCAAGTAGGGTTCTGCTATCCTAAAGGGACGACATTTTCCATTCTCTCAGACATCCACAATCGTCTCTTGAAGAAAACGTACAAAACTGGAACTTTCTACAGAACCTCTCAAATGGAGAAATTGGAGCACAGATATCCTAGCAAAGGATACTACTACTGGGATGAGGACACTGGGTAAGGAAGCAGGTCTTGCCTATTTGGACACGGCTTTGAGTAAGCTGCTGGAATCTGAGCCATTTGGCCAATGCCATTAGCGGGGATCACAACAAAACCAGAAAGTCTTTCTGGGAACGTGACCAGCGTTTAATTTTCCTGGGACTCCCACAGCTGCCAGTCATTCATAGCCTCTGCTGCACTGCCAATTGCTCTGGGAAATGCTTTGCCAAGTGAATACAAATTAGGAAAAAAAGACAAAAGCGAAGCGCAGGCCATGAAACTGAACTGGAGACACACCCAACCCTTTTTGTTTTGAACAGGAACCATTTGTAAACACCGTGACAGGGTTGCACAGGAACTAAGAGTGTGAAGCACAGCCTGTCATTTTCTTGTAAAGAATTACAATAATGGGAAAGAAAGAGAGACCTAAAATACAAACTATGTATTTCTACATAAATGTATCATTATAAAATAGAGCTCAAAGGGTGTTCAGGTGTCATCTGATTTCTGTGTCTTAAGTTCCCTGACCTCACCAAACCATTTCTGAGATGTGTGTCCCCTTTTCTTTGCCTGTGGCCTGTTGAGCACTATAAAATGAGGCATCGGCGCTGAGGGCTTGCCACACACGTTATTGCAAAGCATTAGGAAGGAGTTGACCAAAACTGGGAGTTAGTTAGTAATATTTTCGCACAGAACTCTGAAGGACGCTGTTCACTCTCCTCCCCTACCTGCAGGCTGCTGTTTCTGAAACTCAAAGCTCAAAATGAGAAGGAGAAATTCGCTTTTTGCTCTGTCAAAGGCTGTGAACGAATAAGGATCAAAGCTGTGATCCCAAAGACGGCTGGCGTCAGCGACTGTGAAGCCATGGCCTATCCCAAGTACATTGAGACACCAGTAGTAGAAGTGCCAATGCCTAAGAAGCTCTCTAGTGCACAACTGGTAAAGTAGTTGATTTCGTATCACAGAATTACTGCCGGCGTTACTCTGTAGTTCTGGCACGTACTGTGCCCACAGACATAGAAAGACTTTGTACCAGGTTCAGTATATCCTGTGCCTGATTTTCTGAAATGGTCCAGGTACGTGAAACAGCGTGAAACAGATTCTTGCACGTGTAGAGAGCACAGGTCCTCGAAGGACAAGACTTCGTTTGAAGTTGGATACTTGGTCTTTTGAGGTCGGTTGTGAAGTGCTGTGCCTAAAAGCACAGGGTGAAAAGTGATGAGCTGGAAGACAGGTTGTTTCAGGGATGTGATTCTGGAGGGACACAAGGTTTCTTGCCTGGCTTCCAGCTCCTCCAGGCTGTGACACAGCAGTGTCAGAGAAGGGACGGCGTAGCTGAGTGTCTAATTCGTATATAGGATTTTGTACAACACTCTCTCCTATATCCAATGCAGTCTGGTTCTTGGGGAGAGAGGGGGATATTTCTCTGTTTTGGGGGTTTTTTTGCTCATCACCCTTGGAGCAGGAAT